TAATAAGGAATACACACACAAAAAATAATAATTCAACAAGTTAGTAAACAATTTATTTACAGTTTTTTTTCTTCACTATATGTAATTCTTTGAGGGCTACAGTCAAAATCATTCAAACACTGTGAAGAGAAATACGAGTTCCTTATATATATATATATATATATATAATTTTTTATATTTGTCAAAATATTTACACTTTTCTCTTGTTTCGTCATCATTATGCTGATTACTTAAATGTTATTACGTTAGTTGTGATTTAAATTATAATGAATTAATAATAAATATAAGAAAAAATTCTATTATAAGTGTAATTTAAAATAATACCATATTAAAATTAAATTCTCAAAGATAATGATGCAAACTTTATTAAAAAAATATCTATAATATATTTAGAAAACATAGTTATTATGTTTTAACATTTTGTAGAATATTTTGTTCAACTGGCATGATGTTAGTGTACAACGGTGGAAATAAAATTTATATATCTTTAAAAATGGCTTTAAAATCCTAAAAACAAGTTATTAGATAATAATTTTTTTCTTAATAATTCAAACAATTCAAATTAAAAAAAAGCTAAAATAAAATGAAAATTTTTTGCTGAGATCTCTTTTAAATACTTTGAATTCTGAGCTTTGAATTAAAAGGTCTCTGATTACGGTATAATTTTTTTATATTTATTTACCAAGAACTTGGAATAAGATATTACCTCTGCCGTCAACATTCCCCAAAGGTAAGTAACGAATAAGATGACCTTCTTTGTCGATGCCTAGATGTGATTGAGGCATGTATTTTACCACAACCTGAAATAGAAATTATAATAAATATTCAGAGTGCATCAGAATATTCATGATACATTCGCAGAAACTGTTTAGGAAAGTAATATGCAAACTGCTTTTTCGAAACTTTGCATTTACGAGGTTAATCTATAGTAACAAAAGCATGAAGCATTTTTAAAAGGAATATAATATTGATATCTTTGATGGAAAACAATAGTTTGGAAATACAATATTTTTTAAACTCCTGTGCAAATTTTTACACTGTAAAAACTGTGGTGCAATATATCTCCTAAATATGGAGCTTTTTATTCCGGGTTAACACCAAATCGAACGTTCATTTACGATTTAATGAATGTAATTTAAATCTAAACACTTAAAAGCACTAGAAATTAGTATTTGTAATCAAGAATCAGTCGGCGAGACTGATTTAGTGAGTTGTTGTCTTGTGCCGCTTATCAATACTGACAAACCTATTTTAAGGCAGAGGGGTGCGCTTCTTCTTTTTCCAGTTGCACAATCTATAGCCAAGAATTCTATTTCTGCCACACACATACGTCACAGCCCGTTTTACGAGGTGCACACATTGAAACGCCATCCATCCACAGATCGTAATTTTGACCTCCCCTGAGGTATCGATTTGTAATGGGAATTAGGAGGATTTATGACCTCGAGAAATTTAGCGTGCACCAGTCACCATTTTGTTCACTGGGAGTCTTCGGCCAACGGAAATTGAACTTGCGACGTCTTGGCCATGGGCCAAAAGTCCTACCAATCAGGTGAGAGTGATTTGTTGAGTTTTAATTGAAAGATTTGTTGTTCGGCTTTAAAATAGGTATATATGTTTTCTAATCATGTTATAAGAACAATTATATTTTATTTTTTAAATATTTGCAAACTGTATTAAGTGATTAGTTTGCATAATTTCTATCAGCCTTTGGTCTGTTAAGTCATATTTTAGTTCGCCTTTATGTTATCTCTGTGCTACTCATATATTTAACTTACAACTAATTTCTTTTTGAGAATTAGTGTATGTATAATTCCAAATTAATGATTTTTACTTTATATTGTATCATAATGATATATTTAGTGACCCATACGTGTATTTTACTTTACTACGGTTATAAATTTTAGTGCTACTAAATGCGAAAAATGGTGTTGGCTACTTTACACCAAGCAGTGTAATAGAATATTCTTGGTGTATTGGAACACCACTACGGGGTAAAGTAGTTACCTTCGTTTTTGGTGTTAAGATATACCAAACTTTTTTACAATGTAGTTTCGCTATAACAAACTAAAATTTAGCCATCCCTTAAATACGTTATTATTTCATACAAATATACAATTACTCAAGTGATTAGTGCACTGCAAAAACATTTCATGTATCTGACATTTCATGCAACTATTTTACACTCAAGTTGTATTTCACAAAGTGTTCCACTAAAACGAAATCAAGGATAGTTTCTGGTGTAATGAAACATTGAGAAAAGTGTTCCTCTATACCGAAATCTAGGATAGTTTCTAGTGTAATGAAACATTTAGAAAAGTGTTCCACTATACCGAAATCAAGGATAGTTCCTGGTGTAGCGAAACATTCAGAAAAGTGTTCCATTATACCGAAATCAAGGAAAGTTCCTGGTGTACTGAAGCATTTAGAATGTTCTTTTATACTACTTGGCACAAAGTATGGTTGTTTTCAGTAACACTAAAATTTATAATTACAGTGATATATGATACACTTAAGAATCAGTAAATGTAATTAAACTGTATTAACCATAAATTTAATACAATTTAACTACATTTAGCCATAAATTTAGGATGAACATATACAATATTTCTTAAATTAAAATTAGTTTGTTAGTCAAACATACGCACAACACAGAGTATTAATATGAATTTGAACAAAACCCAAGTATATTGAATTTTAATATTATGAAATTATTTCATGCAATTGGCAAATTTATGAAAACATAAATATCTTGTAAATACCATCAAGTTTTATTTGGTAATTAAACTGTTTTGTTAACTGGTTTTGGAAACCAGTGGTTTCTGGGGAATTCGATTATCATATTTTTCCGCATGGATTTTAATTTACGTAAATCACAGTATGCATATATTTCTGTCTTTTTAATGGATTTGGATTCTAAAATAAGGTGGTAATTTCTGCACAAATTGAGTATTAGAGTATCGATATTCAATGTATGCATATTCGGTATCACATGCATAGATGGTAAAATACAATGATTGAATAATCGATTCTTACTTCTGGAGGTTTGTAGTCCTTCACTATGTGATCTAGTTGCAGTTCTTTTCTAAATTGAAGATGCTGAAATTTAATTATTGAAAATATTAATAAGTTCATTATCTTTACAAAATCTCAAAACCATAACATAATTATGACTAAAATATAGTTTTATTACAACTATATTTTAGTTATCATTTAATTATTAGTATATAATTTTATTAATTTACATCATGATTAAGATATCACAATCAAGCAAATTTTAAAAATTATATATAGGTGAAATATTTACTATAAAGTGACTTTCAAAAAATGAAAAAAATATTGAAAAATTGAAATTTAAGACATGGGTAGTTGTTCCCCAGTGTAATAATAAATAATTATAATAATAACTCTTGGAATCATAAAGCTTATAATTTACTTCTCCGAGTGTAAATTCAATTTTTATTTTAAATAAATAAATAATTTAAGATGAAAATAAAGGATCTGGTGTCGAGTAGTCCAAAGATTTCAAATGGAGGCGAAATTTATTTTATTTTAGCCCTTTGAAGCAGAATTTTTATTAAACACCTTCTTATACTACTTTTTTTTATTTTTGTCTTAAATAAGAACGAAATAGTAAAAAATATTTTATTTAGCATTTTAATAATGCATTGTTATGAAATACAGTATGAAACACCGGTGCCTTTTACTGCGTTAAGGGAAAAATCATCCAAACACGGCTCACTTCCAAACAATAATTTTCCAAATTTGCAGTTATTTAAATGAGAGAGAAACAGTTATTCATCATTGAAATTTCTCTAATTTACAAAATCATTGCTAAATTTTTGAATATGAATGACAAAAAAATTCATACAAATTTTTCTTTAGATTTTATATTTTTGCACAAATATAATTTCGATAATCTAGCACATTTTTTTAAGTAACTTTAAGACTGTCATAAAAAGTATATAAAGGGATACCGGTATCCTATCTGCATCAAAGGGTTAACCCATTTCTGAATAGCTTTGTTATATAAAGCTAAATTTTTATTTCCTTAATAAACATTGGAGATGATAAGGACTTGTACTCATGATGAAATTTTCACGAACTTTTTAAACTACATTTAAACCAACCTTTGCTTAAACCATTATGTTAAAAAAAAAGTTAAATTTAAAAGGTATAAAAATTACAGTGATATACTACTTCTGTTTGGTTTTTTTGCTTTCTGAAACTAATACTAATACCAATTATTTAGTTTAAGATTTCTTTTTTCAATTTTATTTTCAGTTATATTAGAAGTTTCAGTCGGTATTATACATGGATTGGGACATCGTGCGCAATTGGGCCGACGTGAACGAAATGCAAATCGAGTTAGTGGGGCTAACTAACAGCGTTCAATTGTTACACAATGTTTCGATTAAAGCCATGCTTTTTTCTTTTATTTGTAAGTGTTGAAAAAATTAAATTCTTAAACTTAACGATTTACAATGAAAGCTTCTGATTGAAACTTAACAGTTGGTAAAATAACTTGAATGTCTGCTGTTGTTGACAATTTCTTTTCGACTTATCTCGTTCACTTTCAATTTTAGATTTTTCTCTTCCATTTTTGTTTTACAGGTCAGAAATTAAAAAAAAAAATGCTTGGTAAACTTGTGCATTTCGAAAAAAAAAATAGACTAAAATTGTCATTAAAAAGAAGAAAAAAAAACTATAGCTTGTAGAGAGGAAGTATCTAAGATCTGTTATAAAATCTCATGCAATAATAAACAAAAGGGGGGGGGAATGTGTTTAGTGGCTTATTTTCTTGTTTAAATATTAGATAGCAAAGACCGAGTGGCAAGACCACAAAATTTGACCTTTATCCGACGTAAATCTTGGAATGGGATGGGGTCAGATAAAAATTCGTCGTTCTCGGGTGGGGTCGGATAAAAGTTATTCTTAGTCAGGTGGGGTCGGATAAAAATTCCTCTTGCTTAGGTGGGGTCGGATAAATATTTTTCAGACCCGGATCAGACTCTCGGTTGAACTCAGGACTTCAGTAGAAATCTTAGTTGGAACGATTTGAGAGAGGTACGATTTTTGCAACTTTCCTCTAACATTAGAATTGTAAATGATATTTATACATTACTTACTTTCCTTAACATTGCCTCTGCTTGATCCAAGTTAAAGTTCCGAGCTAAAAAATCAAAATACAACAATATTATCACCACAATACTAAAAGAAAAAAATGACAAAAAATATTCTTTCTTCACACTGAATAATTATACGGCAATTTTTAAAGGAACCGTTAAAAATTGTATAACTAATTAATGGGAATAACTAATTAATGGGATAATAACTAATAATGTAATAACAAATTAATGGGAAAATTCAAATCAGTTGTAATTCACTTATCCTGCTTCGTCATATTTTCCTCGAATTTTTTCAATTGATTATGAAAATTGTTTCTTAAGAGAAATAGAAAATGAAAATTGGAATTAAAAATTTACACCTACCTGTTAAGAAATTGTGTAACATTAATGTGTCATCGTATATGTTAGGAGGAAGTTCATTTTTCATCCTTTTTCTAAGCTGCAAAAACAAAAGTTACTGTTTTCATATTTAAGTTTAAGATGAATAAGAAAATAATCTTTCTAATTCACATTTAATTTATGAAGACTAAAGAACTGAAATAATTTANATATATATTAAGCGTTTGAGCAACTTTCAAATAAATTCAGTGAATTCATGGTACTAAAACAAGTAATCAAATCTTACAAATAACACTAAGTACAAATTTTTTGCTGCATTTATACAAATACTCTAATTTGCTAAACTCGGGTGTTGGAATTTTAAAACTGAAACTATTTTTGCAGATTTTTAAAAGGTTATTTTCTCTTTTTTTGTTGAAATGCATAAGTGTAAAAACGTTAGATATAAAAGGGGATCGCATGAATGTTGCAATAGCCTTCCCAGGATTGAAACTGCACATCCTTAAATGTCGTCATACGCCACTAAGAACACTTTCCCCATGATTACCTGTTCAGAAATACGCGAAAAAGCAGTTCTAAATAGGAAAGCGCCCCTAGTGGCGCACTTTACCACTTGTGATAACTCCCTTAGACGTTTGTAGCAACACGTTACTACCTGTAATATCTTACGTTTCAAACTTCAAAGAAAAAATAATAATTTCATTTTGAAGAAAAAAATGGACAAATAAATTTTCATAAAAAAAAACTGTACATTGTAGAGAGAAAGTATTTAAGATTTGTTATGAAATCTCATGAGACAATAAGCAAAAGAGAAAAAAAAATGTGTTCAGTGTAAACTGCTAATCTGCTGTAATGAAACTAGCAATCAAATCTTCTAGATAATTATAAAATAGCAATTTCACAAAGCGTAAAATAACGGTGGCATTCACATGATTTGATTTCAAATTTGTTTTCTGTGCTTTTGTAAAATACAGGGGGGAGGGGATTTCTACAGAGAGTTTTTCAGGTTTGGTTGGTTGCATAATTCTAAATTCTATGAATAATTTAGATTCAAGGTTAGACTTAAGATGATTTTTCATATAACTTTATTTTATTTGTATCCCTATGGAGTAATTAATGACAAAACAATCACTCTAGTGGCGGGCAGTGGTATGTGGATTCCTTGATTAGATGTCTCTTAAAAGACGAATGTAATCATTGAAGGGAGAAACAAGGCACTTTTATCTTACATCAAAATTCATTCATATGCAAATTTAACAGAAAATTATTCTGGAAGGAAAAAGCATTTCCAAAAATATGTTCTTAAGATATTTTTCCTTAAATGTAAGGAATATTTAAGATTGGCCTAAAAGTTTATTATTACATTTGTTGAAAATCATATTTTTATTTTTCATAAAATACTTTGCTTGAGTCAATCTTTTATCTCTTAAAATATTCAGTTACATTCGGAAAATGCTGGTAATTATTTTAAAAACCCCCCTTGGCTTGATGCTTGGGAGCCATTGCTTTACGCTCTATCTAACGAAGAATTTCCCCACGATGGCAATATTAATTCTTGTCTAGTTAAATAGATGGCAGCACTAGAGATTAATCCAACGTTGTTTTGATTGTCTTGATCACCATACGCGAATTCATTCGAAGAAATAAACCCTTCTAACTTTTTCTTATAGGTGAGCCATCAATTTTCAGAATTATAAATGCAGGTTTTTTTCCCCCAAGATATTTGAAGCTTTATCTCAAAAAATTCCTTTTAAAAAATTTTTTATTCCAAAATGAACCGACTGAGTATATTTCTAAAAATACAATTAAGCGACTATTTTTGAAATAAAATTATAAACTCATAATTTTAGAAATCATAATTATCTATGCAACAATAGCATGTAGTTTTTTTAAAAATGTTTTTCAACTTGTAATAATTAACCTTTCTTTTATTTCATCACAGACAAAAAAATTCTGGTCAAAACTAACAGAGTACGGTCTCTATGGGAACATTAAAGAGCTCGGTACTTTTAACCGACACGATTTGCTAATGATTTTGGTAAAATTATCAATAAAATATGGTTTCATAACATGTAATAAACTTTGGAAAGCTTGATAAAATTCGGTTTATTGTGATAAATTTAGGTAAATGTGGTAAAATGTGGAAACCATTACTCAGATTAATATATAAATTTGATTGGATTAATTTTATAAAACCATTTATTCGGTTAAATTTACTTTTGAGTTTTGTATTTTTTACTTAAAGTATAATAAGAACTATCACATAATTTTGAAAACCAGAATTTATGGTAAACCAGTGCCACAATATCGGTAAAATAAACAAATGAATGGTGAAATACCGAATTTTTTCGTATTCATAATTAGTTTTTTAATTAGACATGTCATTATTATACAGCATGGTAATTTATCCATGTTATTTTTAAGAATAAACCAACTCTTAATATTCTCTCATATATAACGATTAAATTTGTTTTCTAGTATATTTAAAGGGATTTTTTTTATTTGTATTATCGGTATTCTTCTAGTAAATTTTAAAAATTTAATTCGCGCGTATTAACATTGCTATAAGCTTGCTAACATTGCACTAATGTAAATGAGCTAACAAATCGCATTAACAGTCATGTAATTTACTTAATTTATCTCAACTATAAGAGTGTGTGTGAAATGAAATTTTTTACAAGGATCTAAATTGATATATAAATTTAAAAATGAAGTTTTATTTTATAATGACATTTAAGACTGATTGCTGAAAATATAATAGCTAAGTGAATGTAATTTTGCTAAGGGAACAGTAGATAATTTGCATATCACATCAACTAAGTAAGTGGTTGTATAAACAACTCACTCATGTATTTTTAAAAAAAAATTTTTACAAGGATATCTTAAGTTTTACTTACTTCATTAATTACTGCTTCCTCGTCTACGACGATATCCTCAGATTGCGTCATTATTCTTGCTGTAATAAGAACAAACTATTGTATAAAAATAATTTAATTTGCATAGTAATTTATCATTCTATAGAAATAATGCATTTTATCAGGAGCTAAGCTCATTAATTATTTATAACCTTCTATTTAATATAAAGTTTTGTTTAATTGTGTAAGAGTTGATACTAAAAAAGCAGAGTGAGTTTTTAAAATCAGTAAAACATAATTTATGTTCTCAGTAAACAAAATTTTTTCAGAGCCTTTTATCACAGAAGTTTCAGAAACAAAGATAGAATTTTTATGGTTTAGTATCATTCCGTGGTGACTAACGTAACATTTTTAGATTTCTTAAAATGCTTATTTTTAAAATAAAAGTAATTTCGCACCATACTTAAAATTTATGATGCAAATAATGCCTTTTTATCACAAATTAAATTACTAGTAAAATTTTAATTCCTATAGTATTAAAAAATTTGAGTGCAATTAATGAACATAAGTCCATCTCAATTTGTTTACTATGATTCTGGCTTGCTCAAATGACCTTCCTCTTTTTGTTTTAGTTTGATTAATCTTTTATTTCCTCTATTGTTTTTATCATCAGCTCTGTTAATTCTATTTAGTACATCCAGTTTGTAACAAAGTTTAATTCTATTTCCGGGAAAGCTAGTTTGAAAAACGTCAATTTACGCTTTACTTAGGTAATTTCAGGTTAACTAAGATGATCCGTTAAAGTTCAAGTAAATTCCGCAATTTATCTGGTTAATGTGCTAATCAACGGTTAAAGTGATCTATTCTATTAACTGATGTATTGATTGCTTGATTATAACACGTGAATTTTCTTATAGCAAAGAGTAATAGACACCATGTTAATTTTCTCAATTGTAATAACATTTTAATCAGTTTTAGACATTGTATTATAGTTTTTAAAGTGATTGATACGATCAACTGATTTGTTGATTGTTTCATTGTAGCAACTTGATTCTTTAGATTTCGAAAAATAAATAAATGGTATTATGTTAATTTTCTCAATTCTAATAACACTTTAAATGGTTTTATTCTTTGTATTATAGCTTTTAAAGTGATTGATACTATCAACTAATGTGATTATTGTTTGATTGTAGCAACTTGATTATTTTGATACTGTAAAATAAATGAATGACATTATGTTAATTTCCTTAAATGTAATAATATTTTAAGCCATTTTATTCTTTGTATAATAGTTTTAAAGTGATTGATTATATCAACTAATTTGTTGGTTATTTAATTGCAGCAACATTATTTTTTTAGATAGTGAAAGATAAATAAATAACATTATGGTAATTTAATCGTACAGAAGCGTACGTTGCAGTTGCTTCAGTAAAGATTCAATTTTCATTTTAACGAGTTCGTAGTAGGTAGTGTTCATATTATCTAGTTCAGCGACTCCCAAATGTTGTTCCGCGGAGCATAAATAATTTAGCCATTTGCGAATAATTTTATCACTTTTTTTTTAATAATTTTTTTTAAATTTCCCATGAACTGCACAATCAGTCTTCCCGATGATCAGACCTAGTGCGTTCTCCAGAAGTGGTATCCACTCTTTCAGGACCACCGAAATGGGTGAGATACCGTTGGCCATGTTAATTTGGACGTCTAGTTTCTGCCACACTAGATGGCAGTACCGAGACTCTATTTGGATGCTAAGGTGCACTAGGAATTTAATTTTGCCGGAAATGCCAAGAGCCAATAGGGCACTCCAGGGATCATTTACGTGCCGCATAATCATACTACATGACCGCTGCAGATTTCCTGCATCCTGAAAATCCGGTGTCTGGGCCGGGGATCGAACCCGCAGACTTGGGCTCAGAAGGCCCACGACAAGCCAATTGCGCCACTCAGCTACTTTTTTTTTCAAACTTTAAATAATGATTATGCATCCTTTGTTGTAGAAAAATATGCGCGTATCAATTTACCTCTCTTATAAAATAGAGTTTAACTTGATGTCAAAATTAACAAAAAATGAATAAATAAAACAAAAATTAAGATGTGGGTGATTAAATGTTGCCAGTTATAAATCTTAACATTTGTAGTGAAATTTTTAAAAATACAAACAGTATAAAAGTGATAAAAAATTTGAGAATTTGAAAAGTTATGTGATATAAGGTTATCGTTACTTAGAGAAAACAAGTAAAATTACTTCGTAATTATTACTGTTTATTACATCACATATTTTGTTAATAATTTAATGTTCTTACATAAAAACATGAAATTATGATAACTATAAATTTTATACATGAATATACGGTCAAACCCCGCTATAGTGAACCTTCAAGGGATCGAAATGTCAATTCACTATAACCGGGAGTTCACTATATTCGTACTGCAAACAATTTTAACTAATTTTTCCGAACTGCTCCCTTTTATTACACATTATTTAAATAAATGACCCATCAAAAGAAAAACAAAAATGATTAAAAAGACAATATGTAGTAACAAAAAATGTGTTAACTTTAAATGTTTTTAATGTGTTAGTTTTTTATTACTTTTCGTCTTGCGTACAAAACATTTAGGGATGGCCTTATTTTATGAATGGGAAACTGAGATAGAAGAAGCAAACAAGAAAAATGCGTATGGCTACATTACACTCAATAGATGGTTTTAAAAATCGGTATAAGTATTTTATGTAGGAATTTCAAAATTACCAAAAAATTAAGAAAAAAAAAATCAGTCGAGGACGCAAAAAAGTTCATAATATCAAATTTCCTTTCTTCTTTTGGTTTACTATATTCACAAAAAATATTATTATATGTGTATAGCAAGGCATGGGAGCGAACATTTCGTTCACTATATCCGGGAGTTCACTATAAACCATGTTCACTATAAGGGGGTTTGATTGTATATGTATATATATGCAGTCAATGTATATATATGGGGATACAATCTCTTTGTTGCGTGAACCTTAGATTCTAAAATCTACAAAGAGAAACCGACAACAACGTGCAATTACATTAACTGCTCGACCACTATAATGGCCAAGAAATGAAATACCAGTGTTCCATTTATTAATGAACAATGAGTACGTGTTTTTCAATTCTGAACATTGGAATCAAATTCAACTCAATTTCATTAGGTTGAATTCTCTTTCAATGTTACCGCTTCTGTTTTTAGATCCCTAAACGGATAACAATATTATTTGATGGTCAGTTGTTCCTTTAATCTTTCATTAACTTCCGTATTCAGCTAGTTTAAACGACACACAATGGTGAACAACCTTGAACACTTGTATTTATTACCAGAATGCAACAAATGAGGAATTGTAAATTCAATTGTATCTTACATCTTGATCTTGGATATTTGACCTATCCATATTTATATGTTGATGTTTTAGACAGAAATATTACTGAATGTTATTCTTTATAACGCTAGTAGCTCCATGCATAATTAGTTTCAAATAGATTTTAAAAACTGCAGTCAGAATTTTAAGTATATTTAAATTACCTGTTCAAAATATTTTCTATTATATTTAACGGTGTATTATAATTTTAATTTTGTATATTCTAAAACGAAATGTGTCACAAATTATATTTTTCATTTTGATATTGGCTACAAACTTTCAGAGTTGTGCCAGATACGCTTATCTCTCGTAAGGGACGCCACTATTTTTGTTGTTCAATTTAATGTTACATTTTGTTTTGCTTCGCAAAAACTATAAGCCTTAGAAATTTCAAATTTCGGTGGTATGTAGAAAAATGCACGCTTAGTACCATGGAATGAAAGCCATCAAGATTTATTAACTATTTAGAATTATTAATTGATATGGAATTATTAACTATTAAACTTGTAAGAAAAACATCATTCTGACTGCTTTACATGCAGGCAACAAACTTAATAATGATCTTATGATGAGCTTTTTTAATGAAGTTCCAATTTGTTAGGAGATGATTGCCATTTTAGGGAGGGGGTTGATATTTCCTCACTTTGTCTTAGTTTACGTTACTATTTGCTTTGCTGCCTCAAAATATATAAGACTTGGAAAAATATACCAGGAATTGGATGACATAATAATGATATTCGATTATTAGTTCTGAAATTATCAAGTGCTAAACTTTAAGTAAAGAAAATATTTGTGGATCTACTGCCTGTTGAAATGTAAGTACCGAGTTGAATTATAGCGTTCTAGAAAAGCTTATTTTAAATGTGAACATAAAGCGAATTGTTTTTGAAACTCAATTTGTTAGAAAGTTAATACAATTTTAAGTACTTTTTGTGATTTTTATTTATTTTTTTGATATAAATAATGATTACACTGGGGAAAATATTTTTGAAGCATTTATACAAATACTTGATCTTGCCTAATTTCCACCTAAGTCCAATCCTAATTTCGAATAATCTAATTGTGATGGTTTTAAATCTAAAATTACTTTAGTTCCGAAAACTACAGGTTTTTTAAAAGCATTTTCAGTCTTTTTTTTCTCATTATATATAACAGGGAGTTGTATAAATATTGCGACAAACTTATAGAGGAGTTAGATCACATCATCTGGATTAAAACTACATAGGAATGAACTCATGTCTGGAAATGTCGTCATACGTGATTAGGGGCTCTCACCTATTATGACTACAAAACTTCCCCACAAGACGAAACAATTCATAATTCGGAAGTGCCTATAGCGGCTTGTGCCAACATTCCCAGACATGGATGCTATGCAGTTTTAATCCTGATGTTCCGACGTAACGGGAAGTTTCAAGCAACATTTATGTGACTCTCTGTTCTAGATTACCTCCAACAACAGATTTGAAATTAGATATACGAAAATTTAAAAGATCTCTTAAAGCATCTTATACAACAGAAATGAAATTAGATATACGAAAAATGAATATTAGATATTTCGTATAACTAATTTTAGCAGATTTGAAATTAGATACACGAAAATATCAAAGATCTCTTAAAGCATCTTATAGAACAGAAGTGAAATTAGATATACGAAAAATAGATATTAGATATTTCGTATATCTAATTCCAACAGATTTGAGATTAGATATACGAAAA